CCTTTAGCGAGCTGACTCCATGGACATGGTCCTGCCCACAAACCGCCTGGGCTGAGCTCAGAGGCTCGGAGCAGGGTGTGGGACCCACTCGGGACACGCTTGAGACCAGGGGTGGGCGAAGCCCTTGGGTGGCGGCCGCAGCCATCCTGGCACCATGGGCAGGAGCTGCTCTGCTCCCCCCAGGGCTGGGCCCCCTGCACCAGCGTTGCCCAGAGGGGGATTTCCATCTCCCCGCTCCTTTAATCTGTGTGTTATGGCAGTACCCAGCACCTCCCCGCCCCCCGCCCCGGGACCCAGCCCCTGGGCCTGTTCTGTAGCCTTGTCCTGGCCTGTCTCCCTCTGTGTGCGGCCCCGGGGCAAGGAAGCTGGCTCACCTCCACCCTCACAGGCCCCAGCATCAGTGCCCAAGGGTGGGAGTCCTGCAGACCCTCTGATCCTGCCATGCCCACCCTTGGATGCTGTCAGCCCGGGTCCTGCAGCTTGGCTCCCAATGAAGCTAATGGCTGAGTTTCCCAGCCCGGGGCTCGCTCAGCTCCGGGAAGTCTTGGGACGGAGATAGCATTTGGCTCCAGGGCAAGGGTGTAAAAAACAAACCAGCAGAAGAAAGCCTTGGCCAAGCTCACAGCGGATCTTTGCATATTACTTTCTGCATCCTTTTAAAGTGACCTGGGGGAAAAATAAAGAGGCTAGAAATGCGAAGAATCCAGCAGTCCGGCTTTCCTTTCTATTCTTCGCGGTAACGTTTCCATGTTAATGGGTAATTTATAACCTGGTTAACCCCTCCTGCACCACCAGGACGCGCGTGCTGGGCATCATGGAGCCCTGCCACCCCCGCCCTTTGGCAGGGCCGCCCGGGGAAAGCACAGATGGTTGCAGGGGGTGCAGGGGGCCGGGGGCAGGGAAGGCAAGAGGCTCGTTTGCTCATCTCAGGGCAGGGGAAATCCATGACCAATGAGTCCAAGGCTGGGTCTGACAGGACGGATGGACCTGAGCGGTGCCCATGGGGGGTGGGGGCATGAGGGCACCTCCCTGCAGGGCATGGTCTGTCTGGGTGAGTGGGCAGAGCTGGATACAGACCAAGCAAACACAGGGACATCCTGAGCTCAGGCCTGTGTCTGCATTTCCCCCCGGGCTGCACTTTTTGCGGAGCGGGTCCTGGGCTAGAGGATCCTTGGAGAAGCTCAGGTCATTTTTGAGATGCTCAGAAAGCATCCATGAAATGCGGGGAGGGGGAGATCACCAGGCTGTAGAGATCTGCCAACTGGAATCCTGCTGCCTGGGAAGGTTTTTTCTATTAAAACTTGGGTGGATGTAGTGCTCGTGCAGCCGAGGGGCCAACAGCGTGGGCTGGAGCCAGGCATATTGCAGGCAGGTGCGGTGCAAGTGTTCCCCGCACGCCGCCCCGCCGGTGCACTGCAGTCCTGACCCGCAGTCCCCCGCTGCTCCAGTGCTGGGCCCACACAGCCCTGGCAGTGCGCTGCAGTCCGGCCCCGGCTGCCCCTGCTCTTCTAGCCCTAGGATCCTGGCTCTGCCCCCGTCCTCACCTAGGGGCCCTGGCTCAGCCAGCGCTCCTCAGTCCCGAGCCCGAGCCCCTGCCATTCCAGCCCCGGGGGTCTGCAGAGCAGCATGAAAACCGCCCCCAGGGTCTTGAGCCCTGCAGAGGACAGGACCGCACTGGTCCTTCCTCACATCTGGCTCAGAGCCCCATGCTTCAGCCTGGGCGGGCATCCCCAGCAGCCGGTCCCTGGGGAGGTCAGAGGGGAAGCCCTGCCCCTCTTCCCCGGAGCTTCGGGAGCCGTGTTAGTGCAAAGCAGTGCCCCCAAGCCTGCCGGGCGCAGGGAGACAGCTGTGTGGCTGGACAGGGCAGAGGGTGCCCAGGGCAGAAGGCAATTAGCGCCCTCAGCAAGGCCACCTGGCTTCAGACAGGCACCAGCCGCAGGGGAGCAGAGCAGGCTGGGGCTAGCGTAGAAGTCCAGACCCTTATACAAGCTGTAGCACCTGGGCCTGTTCCCCTTCAGCCTGGCTCCTGCCCACCCTCTTTGGGGTCCCAGATGCCCCGGCTCTGCCCGGACTGCGCACACGGACCCTGCTTGCTCATGGGGACTGTGACCTGGACTCTGGCTCTCACGCAACCTCAGATCCTCCAGCTCTGGCTCAGGTTCTTGTTTTCCCCCCATCCCTCGGGGCTGCCCAGGACCCAGTCCATGCACGCAGCTCCAGACCCTGCCTGCCTGGTCTTCAGAGGCACCAAGCACCTCTGGCTCCCATGCTGTCAGCTGGAGCCCCGAGTGCCCGGCACCCCAGAGCAGCTCGGAGGCCACTGGCCCGCCAGCAGTGCCAGCAGAGGTATCTGCACGGAGCCGGGGCGGGGGATCCTGCGCTGCCCCATGTTCTGACTACGGGATGTCTGAAGAGAGGGTCCGAGCTGGAGGAGCTGCCAGCCAAGGGGGCATCAGCTGGGAAGCTGGCCCAGCCTCTCCCCGCCACCCCCGTGCCCACAGTTCCTGGTGCGTGGTGGAGAAGCAGTGGCGCAATGAAGCCCGGGTGGTGCTGCCCGCCCGCCCGCGGACGAGCGAGGCCAGGACACAGCGTTCCCTCTGTGCAGCGCAGGGCGTCCGGTCCCCGGCCCCGGAGCCAGGGCTGGGCGAGCTTGCGGGGGAGCAGGCCGAACAAAGGCCGGCCTGTGCCTTGGCCGGCTGCTGGGAATGCGCAGGCTTTGCCAGGGAGATCCGTGCGTGGCTTGGCCCTGCCTGTGCACCCAGGGCGGGAGCGCTGCCCGCTGCGGCTCCGCGGCCGCCTCGGCTCTGTCAGGCATGTGACCGCTTGCCGGGCCGGTTACTGTGACGGCTCCCAATCTATTCAATTGACTTCGACATTACTCACCGGTGCAGGACACGGAGGCCGAGGAACTGGACCAGGGCCAGGACGGGAGGGGGGTGGGGAGCGGAGCCAGAGCCAAGCCAGCAATGTGCGAGCCTGTCCGGAGCAGACTTTCCCTCGGCCCCGGCTCTGTGCGACATGGATCAGCTGGCAGCGCGCAGGGGCGCGCAGCGTGGGACCCACCACCACTGCCTCCGCGGGCACCAGCCCAGCCCCGTGCGCCGGATCGCTGGCCCAGCCCCGTGGGACCAAACCATTTGCTCCTGTGGCTTCCACGGGGCTCGTGCCCCGAGGGCTGGAGCAGGGAGGAGCAACCCCTCGACCCCGCCACTGCCCCCCGCCCGAGCAAGCCCCGCTGCCCCTTCCCTGTGGCGGGACAAGGCAAGAGCCCCTGCCCCTGCTGCAATGGGCTGGCGAGGCGGACTGCCGCGGCCCCTGCCCAGGTGTTCCCCATTAGGGGTGTGAGGTTATCAAAGCCGGTCAGCAGCCCCTTGCGCCCATCAGGGTGCCCCATAAATCACAGTAATGAATGGGGCCGCGACAGCCCCGAGGAAACATTTGTATCCTAGCACGAGATTGACACCGGAGCTGGGGGCAGGCGGGGGGAGTCTCTCCTCCTGCCTATTGTGTGCAGGTTTTATTTTATTTTAAACCCTGTGAAATAGAAGCTGTAAATCTCGGGTGTCAGGCGAGACCCAACAATGCGCAGCTTTGTTTGCAGGCGTCCCTTGCCGAGTCCCTGGCCCGGGCGGCGGGCACTGCGCTCGCACGTGTGCCGCGGGGGCCGGAAGGAGGTGGACGTAGCCTCGGCCTCGGCCTCGGCCTCGGCCACGGCACGAGGGGGTGCCCGCGTGGAGGAGCTGGCGCTGCAGGGCAGCCTGGCCACGGCTCTCTCTACCATCGGGGCTGAGGTCACGCCGGCGCCTGGAGCTCCTGCCTCGCAGGCTGGGGGAGGCACTGGGGACACGGGCCAAACCGCCTTGCATCTAGGAAGCTCCAGGGCAACGTGGGTGTCGGAAGCAACGTGGCAAGACCGTCTGTTGCAAGAGGCAGAGATGTCCTCTCCAGACCGAGGGATTCCCACGCGTGGCTCTGTCCAGCCAGCTCCCCGCTCTGCTGGGCCGCGAGGGAAGGGCGTGACGCGTGGCACCGGGGCTTGCCAAGCAGGGCTGAATTTGGGGAGCCCGAATGAAAGGCAGAGGCCCGAGAGCCAGGCCCAGCTGTGGCCCCAGCACCCAGAGGTGGGAGGCTGCCCCGGTCTAAGCACGGCTCTACCACGGTGCGCCCTGCACGTCTGGTGCCCCGCAGCGGGGGTCCGGGCGGCCTTGCCCTCCCGCCACAAAGATCTCCGTTCAAGTAACGAGGGAAATGTGTCCAGCTGGAGGTGCAGCGGGCCCCGGTGGCGTGACGCGACTGGCCGCCAGCGACGGCACAGGGGTGCGCGCATGCCGGGAAATGGCCGCGCCGCGCCGC